TGCACCACTATTTGAATAAGCAAATTATTTTGTGCTTTAACTAAGCAACAATTAATGAATTTGTTTTTTTCTGCCATTTTAAAGCTCTATTTTAGTCCATATTTACTGTGATTTGAATATATATTTGTTTCTCAGTCACATTATAGGTGAAGTGATATATTTCCTGTATGTTTCTAAATTGCTAAAATGGACAATAAAGTGCAGTCGTCATGACGATGGTGTTTTAAACGGAGCACACTCAGCCTCCAGGTGTAAAGCGAGATGCTTGTTTGAATTTAAGTAAGGAACTCATCTTTTCTGGCTGAGTATCTTAGATATAAAGTGTTCCATAATACCCATTACTGGTCCTTGGTCCAGTGGCAGTGCTATTGCCATTCCTGAACTTCAAGCACTGTAAAGAGCCTTATAATACAAAATGTTTGTTAAATAGCCGATAGAGAAGCTATAATCTTTTAATGTCGAATTTTATAGCTTTACCACGCTCTGTCGTTCTTGTGAATATTGTAATATTGCATTTTTACTGGTTATTCATCTGTTAATGTTCCAGTTACTAAGTTTTATACTCTCCCTTATACTTTTTTTTTTGCATTTGCTCACACTGTTAAACACACAGAGAAAGTTTCCTCTGCAAAGTTTATGTATGTGTCTGACTGGACTGAATCTCTGGAGGAGAGCACTTTGTGATAACTGTTTTAAAGCAGAGGTGTCAAAACCATGATTGATATACATTTGAAAAAACATGTATATGTGGAGCAATAAAACAGAACTATATCACAATAATTGTTTTGATCAGGGAGCTCAAGAACAAAGCTTGCTTGAGCCAACTGTTATGAATCAAGACTTAAAAGTAAGTACACACTTCTATTGGTTGTTTATATGCTCTGTCTCTCTGCCTCTCTGCCTCTCTCCCTCTCTCTCTGTGTGTGTGTGTGTGTGTGTGTGTGTGTATATGTGTGCAAGAGAGAGTGTAGCTGTCGTAAATCTGCATCCAATAATTACTAAAAAACTAAATTGATTAAATCAAATACAAACTGATTTTATTTCCATTTTATTTCTGTCACAAACTGTCATAAATAATATCACAACATTTTAATTTTAGCTTTGAGCACATGTGCAACTGAATGTGAAATATGGTACTTTGAAAATATACTAATTTGAGGCTTCAGCAATTTGCAACCTAAATTTGTATTATTTTCAAACACATAGTAAGTTTTACTGTCTCTTTTAATTCTGGTGCATGTGTTCTTTGATTTCTATTTATTATTTTTTCATCCACCTTTATCAATTCCTAGTTCATTGGAGCAGGGTTGCTTCCTCTTTTTGTTGTCGCTTAAACCGTTTAGTTTTGGATGATCGCTCAAAGATCCTGACGACCAGCGTGGAGAAGCGCGGCGCGCAGCCGGGGTGGGAGCGCAGGAGGCCGGACAGATCTATTGGGCTGCATCGCGGAGACGCACCATTAGACAAGGGGGAGAAGCATGGCTCACAGCCGCCGGTCGATCAGGTAAGGATCTCTGCCTCTAATGTCACTGTTTGTTTGCAGGTATGTGGTGGCTGCGCTGTGTGGGACCAAACTGTGCGCAGGCTGCAGCTCTGTGCTCCAAGCCTCTGGATTTTTATTTCATTATTTCATGCTCAGATCAAACAAAGCGTGGTGCGCCTCTCCTTCCATTCTGTTACTGTTGACTGTTGCTATAATGTCAGGTAAAGCCATTAATCAAAATAAAAAAATACATGTAATCTGAAATATGTTTTATTATGTGTATAATTATTCTACTTTGTATTATTACTATTATTCCACATGATAGTCTATGAACATTCTCCTATGTGCTTGGGGCTGTAATTGAAAACATAGATCTCAGTCTAATTCACCTCTCAATTTTGGGTGGCGATGGGAAGATCAATGGAAAACAGTTGTAATGATCTAATTAATTATCGCAAAATTAAAAGCAAGTACAAAATCAATCTGCGGTGGTGTCGAGGATATGGAGTCAAATTGATATCCATCTGCTCCCGTTGTAAAGCACATGAATAAGCAATCTGAGGACGCAGCTGATATCCTGCAGTTTGGCATAGCCTGCCCATATGGCTGTGGGTGTCAGGAGACACCAAATCATTGTGGGGCATCGCAAAGTGACTCCTGATATGATGCTGGTGTTTTGACTGATATAGAGAATATAGGGAAATGTGCAGAGAAATATCACATTTTTCTGTGATGTCTCCAAAAACAATCAAATCAGCTCTTCTGTAAATCAAATACAAGATTTTGGTCTGAGAGTATAAGAGCTGTAACCTTGAGTTTTACTTCAGTGACAGCTGCTAAGTGTCCTCGTTGGAATAAGAAAATGTATTTGGTGGATGAAGTTTGCACAACTAAGCTGTGCAAGAAGTTGCTGCTTATATTTTTCAAAATGCTCATGTATACAGATGAAAATAAATCAATTATTATTTTGTCTATTTCCCACAGTTTATATGCAAACTTAAATTAGCTTTAAACAAGTCAAACTTGCAGTGGCTCCCAAACTGGAGGTCAGGAGACGTCAGGAAGAAAATGTATTTCAATAAGTCCCCACCAGGTTAAAAAAATATAATATTATAATAATGATAATAATAATAAAATAATTCATATTTCCAATGTTTTTTTATTACAATATATAATTACTAATATAAAATGAATAGGCAAAAACAACATTTGTATTAATAACTGATGGTAGCTGGCACCCAGACTTAAAATATGTCTCAAACAGGCGAGAGAGACACGCGAGGAAGATAAGAAGAGAAATATCGATTGTTGACGTGAACGTGCACTGAACACAGGCCCTGTTCAAAAAAAAACGGAGGAAAAAGATTTGTTCTGTCCTCCGAGGAAATTCATCATCCCTCTCTCCCTCCCTCTCTGTTTGTCTGTCTCTACACTTCAAATACACTTCAAATACAACAAATGTCATTTGAATTATTATCATATATATTGTAATTATTATTATTATAATTATAATAGCAATAATATGTCCAGTGTTTGTATTTTATAGAAAAATAAAAACAGGCCTAAAACACGAGGACCGTTAAACACCCTTAATAAACAGTGGGACAAGCTGACACTATTATAATTGTTTTTAAGTATCTGATATGAAAATCAACTGTTTCTCTGCAGTGTGACAACTGTGTCCAAACTCATTAATTCTACAATGCAGGCAAAACAAAACAACAACTACATCAGGTCTGAGCTGAAGTCAGGACTAACAGTTTCTTAATTATCACACGGTTTGTGTTTTCTTATCTGTAGTGATGCTGTGACACGGGGACGCGCGTCGTGGCATCGTTCTGAGAGAGAGAGAGAGGGAGAAGGAGAGAGGGAGAAGGAGAGAGGGGGAGAGAGAGGGAGAGAGGCATACGGGGGGCAAATCGGGGTGTTGAGGGGGAAATAGCAGCAGCTTTAGGGCAAAAGTGCAGTGACGTGTGAAATTACAGCCCATGGTGCTACATATTGTACCAGAAGCTCCCTCCCCAAAAAAGGCAGAAACAAAAAAAAAAAGAGGAATCGTCCTCAAAGTTGTCCAGAGGGCAGCTGGACGCAACACGGAGCCCTGCGTCATGGAGGAGTCCAGCAAGCCTCTTAATAACTGCTCATTATATTTTTATTATAATTATCACCATCGTTATTATTATTATTCTTATTAATGCACAGCACTTTTCATGACAAATATGTAAGAACCTGCAGGAGATTGCAGTTTTCTACTTTATTTTCAATAATCACATGAAATAAACACGATGCATTTATCATCTGTACAATTGTACATGATGTGTTACATGTTTTTTACGGTGTTCTTGGTAAATGGCACTTGCAGAAGTTGGTGGTGACCTCATGCAGCCAATTATAGTGAGCACTTTTTAAAAAATCTCCTTTGACTGAATGTTTTTCTCTCTCTCCTTTCGGACTGAGCTCTTACCGGAAGAGATTAAGAGTGCATAATTCAGCTACAGTAGGCTTACCAGCGACCTTTGACCCGGCCAACCTCAGCAGCATCAGCCTACCTGCCTCCCTCCCTCCCTCCCTGCCTCCCTCCCTGCCTGCCTTCCTCTCAGCCTGCAGGAGCCCAGCGGGCTGCTGCTTAACCTACTGTGTGAGCGCCATCTACAGAGCGATGCTGCACACAGGCGGTGAGTGGGATGATGATGATGATGATGGTATTGGGGATGTTGATGATGATGATGATGATGATGATGATGGCCAATACTGACTGACTCTCCCTCTGCAGGCTCACCTTGCACACCTCCATCCGCACTGACATGGAGAAGATACTGAGTTTTTCTTGTGTGATGATAATAATAATAAAAAAAAGATCATGGTGAATTGAAAAGGTGCAAAGACTGTATATGTTTTTATTTAATTTTTCTCAAGAATTTAACAACAGAAAGATGCAGAGAGATGAAATCAAATGTCAACACACTTTCTTAAATAAAATGTGTTATGCCTGAAATATAATAAGATGAAACATATCTTGAAGATTGTGCATTTTGGGGCAGGAGGCTCACAAAGTGGGTTACTGGGTCGCTTCCACAAGTTTTCAACTAAATAAATAATCATTTTATTTTTTGTTGTAATTGAATGTACAATTGAAATTGTAATCCAGGCTCCTTGTGTCAATTTTAAAAAAATGTAGTGGCAACAATCAAAATCCTCCCAAGTGTCCCTCTCTCATCGTGTTTCTCTAAGTCCTGGAAACATCTGAGTTTATGGCAACGCTTTAAACAACATACAGCAGCCTGACAGTGCTTTACCTCTCTTCTTCCCCCCTTCCCTTTAATTTCCTTGATTCTTCACCCCCAAAGTCTCATCATTTCCCATTTCGTCTCCCTCCCCTTCCTGGCTGTCGGATGCAGGGACCTCCTCATTTGAGCTGCAGGTTTTTACGTGGGCGAATCACAAAGTGTTGGAATCTATTGCCTTTGTCTGACAAGTCATCCATCTCTATGCGCGGGGATCTGTGGGATGGAGGTATAGAGGAGGAGGTGGAGGGAGGAGGGGGTGATCTGTGGGACTGCAGCTTTTAGAAACAGACACACAACGAGCGGGGTTTCATTCTCAGCCCAAAGCTTTGCTCAGGCACAGCCCATTCTGGAGGAGAGGGGGACGCACCGCTCCGCCGTGTGTCCGTGTTGTTGTCATCTCCGCCCCTATCTGATTAAACCCACAGAGCCCGCCGCTCCTCCGCGCCGTCACATGCAAGAGAAGAGAGGGATTTTTTTTTTCTCGGCCTCAAGATTTCCAAGCGGACCCGTGGAGACTCCAGCTACTCTGCTTTGTGCCTCGCTCATGATGTCCTTTAAACACAGACAGTGAGCCGGTTTGAGTCAATGTTGCTGCGTCCGGTGCGCTCTGCACACGCGTGGGTCATGCTCCGCACCTGACAGCCCTTCTGCGCACTGCTCACCTCACACTTTCACCGGAGGAAAAACTTAAGAGTCGCCGCTCAAGAAGTTCCTCGCCGCTGCGGACTCGTCCCCACACGGACTGCTTTACACCAAAATATAGAAGTCCTCATTTTTTTTTACCCCTACAAAGCTGCACTACCAAGGCGAAACGGCGACCTCAGTCGATTACCTTTCTTTCCTTTGCTATCCCATGGATATTCACTGCAAAGCAGACCCCTTCTCGGCGATGCACCGTGAGTATACTGAATTAGTTTATAGACACCAGCATCTCTGCTGTGGCTCCACTTATGGAGCAAATGAGAACCAAGCCGTTTTCAATGACAATGATGAAAAAATTACGTATATAGGAAGAAATGTTACATGTTAATGTTATAGATATATTTTATTCTGAGTCCATTAATAGGCTCGATGTTTGCAAACGTATTATCTTGTGCTGAAGATGAACACGGTGATTATTAATATGAGAGTTT